GGTACAGGCTGCGAAGTTGGGGTGCCCACTCATGGCCTCCCACATCACTCCTAAATGGCTTCAAGGTCCATCTTCTTGCTTTTGGTCTCCCCTCCAGCTCTCCATGCCCTGCTGCCTCCCCCAGATCTTGGCACTCGGTCCACATTCACATCCTGTCCATTTAGGTTGGTTAAGACAGGTGAGCCAGCCTTGTCTGTTAGAGGAACATGGAGTCCCCTCTCTCGTGACTTGAAGGATACCAAGAGTTCTTGTTCAACATGCCCCCACTCCCGACACCCCAGTTCCTAGATTCCTTTCCTCGGAAGAGTAGTCCCTTAGGCTGTTTACTGGATTCTTCCTTTCTGATTAGAGAGGAAGAAGATAGATACAATAGTGACCTGAGAAGAGGAGAGAGAGCAGAAAGGAATGAGGCACAGGTGGCTGGCCCCCTACTTTTGCCTGCACCCTGACATGGGTGTCCCACTAGTGGACTTTTGCTCAATGCCTCTCTCTTGGGACTCACACAGAATATGAAAACCAGCCCCTGCTTCTGAGCCAGACCATTCTGAAGCTTTAATAAGGGAAAGTTGAACTTAATTGACAGCTAAGTCTGTAGGCTGCCTGGGGTAGTGAATATCTGGAAAGCAGACAGACCTGGGTTCAAATTTAGATTCCCTTCTCTTTTTTTTTTTTTTTTTTTTAATGTTTATTTGAGAGAGAGAGCGCACAAGCAGGGGAGGGGCAAGAGAGAGACACACAGAATGTGAAGCAGGCTCCAGGCTCTGAGCAGTCAGCCCAGAGCCTGATGCAGGGCTCGAACCCACAAACCGAGAGATCATGAGCTGAAGTCAGACGCTTAACTGACTGAGCCACCCAGGGGCCCCTGATCTGGATTCCCTTCCTGACTCTAGTGTGGTATTCAGCAAGCTACTTTATCTTTCTGGGCCTCAGGAAAATAGAGATAAGCCTCCCTTGGAGATGGCTGTGAGGATGAAATGGGCTGCTGTGCAAGGGCCTGACTCAGGCGAGCACAGGGCATGTTCCCAGGTTCTTCCAGAGGGCCGGAACTTCAGGATCAGACTCAACCCCTCAGGCAAGGCCTGAGACCTCAGCCCTGCCCACTCTGAATATACTGCCCATTCATATGCCATTTCTCATTTTCACAAAGATGTTTTCATATATGTTCCAGTTGACCAAATGGGTAAGAGCTAGCTTGCCTAACTATGAGAAATGTGTAAATATTTATAACATGCTTAGTCAAATTAATCATCTTATTTTACATCTAGATTTAGGAACAAATGAAAACATGATCTTATGTTTTTGTCATTATTTTATATGTAAATTTTGTCCCCCATTATGATTATAAATATCTTGAGGAAAAGGACCATTTTTGCATATGCCACCTCATTTAATTATTACCACAGCTTTGTGAGATAATATTGCTCCTGTTGATGAAAACCTTCTGGGAGGTGAGGTAAGTGCCCACAGCCTCAGCTAGTAGAACAGAGAGCAAGCCGAGGGCCAGGCCGTTCCCATGCTCTGATTTTGCCTCTTTCACCCTCTGGGTCCAACCACTGTGTAGCCTTTGGAATGGCCAGAAGCATCATAGGGCAACAACACAGAGTGGCTATATCTATGCTAAAAAAAAATCTATTATTTTTGTGCAGACTCAGTGTTCTGTCTTAGACTTCACAGTCCCCTTTGTGTTTGTTTGTTTGTTTTTTAAAGGCCTTATTCTTCTCATTCGTACATAATTCATGCTTGGCTGAGGGAAGAGTAATAGAGGAAGACAGAGTACTTAAACATAAGTTTCTCAATCTTTCTTTTGGCAAGTTATTCTTAGAAAGAAGTGGGAGTGAAAGCCCCAAATGGCTGGGGAAATCTCTCTCAGGCCAAGCGCCCACCTGAGTTAGCTCTGCCTACAGAAAGCCCGGCTAGACACCCCCCAGGTCAAGGCCAAAACCACACTGCCTCTCTGAATAGCATGCCAACCGCCCAGAAGGAAATAGCCAAGGTGTACCCACGATGTTAACATAAGCCTATAAAATGATGACAAATGTCACAGTGACATTTAAGAATTTAGTAAGGAAACCAGGACAGGAAAGATCTTAAACAAACCACACAGGAAGCTTGTCACAAGTCTCAAGGCTTTTTTTTTTTTTTATTTTCAGAACAGAGGCTGGTTTTATTTTTAAAAAGAGAAAGGGGGAAAAAACGTGATAAATGCTAGTGAGCTGCCGCTTCCCTTCTTCCAGGCTCTACCAGCCAGCTCTCCTCCACAAAGACACATAGAACCAGAACCAGGGCACATTATAGCAGAACAGCCTTTACAGAGGGTCTAGTCCAACCCCCTTTTAAAACAGATACGGAGTCAGAGGCTCAGATCAAGAGCATGCCTTACTTGCACAAATGTTAGAGGCAGACAGTCTGAATTCTGAACCCAGAGTACTTTTCTGTGAACTATACTGCCAGCACAAGCCTCAGGAGACAGTGCACCTTATCTTTATTTAGACCCACGGGAAACATCTCCAGTTTGACCCCCCACTAAAGATGCCCCTAGAAAGCAAGAAAAATGAAACTTTAGGGGTTTTTTCTTATTGAGCGTGGGGCAAGGAAAGAAAGTAAAAGGACTCAAGAAAGAAACACCAGAAGGAAGGGGTTGACCCCTGAGCACAAAGTGCTTGCACCAGATGTTTGAAAGAGAATGTCCAGGGGTGAGGGGCGGGGGGGGGGGGGGGGGGGGGGGGGGGGCGCAGCAGACAGAGCCTGAGCAGGCCTGGCCTCTGCCAGAATTGGCCCAGGTGCCATAAATCTCTTGTCATATCTCGGGAAGTGGTAGCTCATTGGAACCTATCACAGCCTCCCACAGAAAACTCAACAGCACTCAGATTTTACAGTCATTCAGCGGGAGACCACCATCCAAACAGGAGAGAGGGGTGGGGCAGGGGCCAGCCAGGGGCTGGCCATGGCTCAGACACAGAGCCCTTTCACAGTCACTGAGATTAGGTAGCAGAGAGAGCAAAGCTGGAGACAGGATATGGGGACCCAGGGAGCAGCCATGGGGGCCCACCCAGGGTCTGGGCCCAGAACTTCAAGCACAGAGAATTTAAAGGGAGAGGATTGGGGTAAGAGGGGGGAGGGGGAGAAGGCAGAAAAAAAAAGAATCGTTGTAAAATCCAACTAGCTAATATTGGACCTGGTAGGGTGAGGGGCTGGGAACACAGATAATACATTGAGTGTAAACATTTTTCCTCCATCGTCCCCCACAGTGACAGTAGGGGAGGCTCAGAACTCTGCTCAAGCCATCAGCCTCTCTGTCTCTGTCTACATGGACAGATGTCTTCTGTCAACAAACTTCCAAGAAGTTGAGAGAGAAGGGCCCCAAGTGAAAAACTGAGGCTCAGAAAGCAAGTGACATGTCACTCAAAGCTAGTGAGTGACAGAGTCAAAACTACAGTCCGTGACTTCTAGTCTTTTGTCCAGGGTTCATTAAACCACACAAGACTTCTCAAGCATAAGAAGTTGGGGAGGGGAAAACAAAAATTCTTATAGCACCACCCCATCTTATTTTGGGGTGGAAGAAAATGAGTATTTCCTGGCCTTGCTGCCAGCTGTCCTCCAGCACTCTTACCTCCCCTAAAAACACTTATCCTGCCTCAAAGATTCCAAGAGTGAGGTCCCACGTAGAGAGTATAAGTGGGCAACCCCTGGGTGTCCCTCATCATCAACCTCAGCGAGAATACTAGGGAGGAAGGCAGGGCGGAGGTAAGATTTGCCCAGTCTCTCTATGCAGCCTGCCTTCTCCGTAGAAATTCTCTTAATTAACCAGAGCCGAGGACGAAGGTCATCACCACATTTTCTGATACACACCAGGCTTCCTAGAGGAAGGACAGATGGGGAATTGGATTTCCTTGAGCCGATGGGAGCCCCAACTTCACATCTACCCAGGAACCCCACCAAAGCTTTTGTTCTGAGCCAAGATCTGACCCAGTCAGCAACAAACCTCAGGAAGGATAAGAGTTCCAGGTACAAAGGGAAGGAGACAGGGAGAGCAAGCCAATGGCTGATACTCCACAGACCCTGTAATAAGACTGGCACCAAACCCCAGCTGGATCCAGTGGCCATGTTGAATGCGACTTCTGAGTATTTTGACTTTATTTTTTGCAAGCAGCATCAGCACATGATGCTACAAAAGTTGAAAGCACGGAGGTAGAAATGCTCACTCACCCAAGAAAGGGTGTGGTTTGGTCCTTAGAGTAGGGACCCTCTCCTCCCCAAGCTGAGAAGAGAGGAGTAGAATTGAGGAAGGTCCTGGGTGAGCTTCTCCCTCGGAGGAGAGCAACTGGGCAACTCCCAGGAGCCCAGCTCTTTCTGGGAATTCAGGGCCACAAATTCAGGTAGCAATGAGGAGAGTGGTCATATGTGTGGTGGGGAGGGCAGGGCCTCCCAGATCTACTGATTGCAAGAGGTCACAATGTGGACACAAGAAAACAACACTATACACACAGAGACAAACACAGACTTTGCATCTACTATCTGGGGGGGAAAAATCCAATAGACACATCAGGAGAACAGTGGATTCCGGGTCAGTTTCAAGGCATGGGACAGTGACCACTAACCACAGCCTATAAGAAGCTGGCACTTCCAAGCAAGAGGGAAGGCTTAAGGCCCAGCACCCCCTGCCTGGGCACCACCTTTACTCCATGCTCCCCCACAATGGACAGGAATTAGGATGGCAGTGGGAAAAGCAAGAAGCAGAGGTATCCAGCCCCCTGGAGGCTAGATTAGAGTAGGATATGGAGAAGGGAGAATTGAGTAAGTGGACCTTCCTCCTTCATCATTAGCAGCTGGTCTCCCTCCAAGCAGTCTTGACTCACAGGGTGCAGAAGGACACACTGGCCCTTAGCCCTATTGACAGTTACCTTTTCCAAATGGAGCCTGATCAAATCTGGGTGAGAGGTCAGAGGATAAGGGGCTGGGGTCTCTCAAGCCCAAAGTAAGCCCCTCTCCTTTATCCCTCCTCAATTCTGGGAGGCCACTGCCAGGGTATTGACATAGCCATGGGCTCCTCCCTCATTCTCCGAGATGCAGTGGCCCAGCTGAGAGACTCCCTGAGGTGGTGGTGGTGGTGGCGGTGGCGGCGGTGGGGCAGAGGGCGGAGCGCCATAGCCCCCTCTCCCCCGACTGGGGGAGGCCCGACTCCCCCGGTCCCAACAGCCCTCTAGGGCTTCCAGGCCGCGGCAGCCTAGGAAGAAGAGGTTCTTGAGCATGAAGATGGAGAGGGGCTGCTGGTAGCTCACCACCAGGAGGCAGCGCAGCGCCAACAAGGGCACGTCCACCAGGCAGCCACCCAGCAGTCGCAGAAGGCGGCTACAGCTGCCCGGCCCTGAAGCCTGGCCCCAGGACGAAGCTGCCGCTGCGGCGTTGAGCTCGTAAAGCCAGAGCACCGGCGAGGAGAGGGTGAGGAAGTAGACGGCGATGAGCAGGTAGCGCAGGTGCGCGGGTAGCGGCACGCGGCCTTCCAGCATCAGCTCCACCAAGGTGAAGCTGTCGAGCAGGTCCAGACACGTGCCCAGGAAGCAGCCGGCGGCTCGGTGCTGCTGGGGCTGCAAGAGTAGGGGTCCCGCCGAGCCAGGGGGGGCGCCAGCCTCGCTGATGGCCCGCACCAGGCTGTAGAGCAAGGGCACGGACAGCGCCATGGTGATGCGGAAGCCCGTGGTGCCGAAGGGCGCGCGCAGCTCTATGAGGTCCAGGATGGACGTGCCCAGGATGAGCACCACCTTGGGCGTGAAGGCGATGGAGTAGATGAGCCAGGCCAGGTAGGCAAAGGCGAACTCGCCCGCTGACCCGACAGCCCCCGGGCCGCCCCCCGGGCCACCGGCGCCCCCGCGGCCGCTGCGCGCCTTGGCCCCTGCCGCAGCCCCGGCGGAGGCTGCGGAGGAGGCGGGCAGGTGCAGGGGCGGCGCGGCGTGGTGGTGGTGCTGGTGGTGGTTGTGCGCGCCGCTCGCCATGCCGCCCCGACGGCCCCGGCTGTTCTTGGCGAAGAAAATGGCCCAGCCCACCACCACCACCAGGTCAGTGGCGATC